CAACGCCCAAAACACTTTCATGTAACGCACTGTTAGCATCAAAACTGACAAGTCACAACACAACACAACATACAACACAACACACAACACCGGTCACAATGTCACATGCATTTGAATCATTATGATACTGTTATTAAAGTAAGTAAGATTTTCATGTCCAGTCATCATTAAAGGGCCCTAATCCTAATTTCACCAATCAGAAAGTCTGTGATCCGGGCGCCAGAACTCACCGCGTGGAGCTAATCTCACTGGTAAAGTACCATGTGGCGCAGAACTAAAAAAGGTCTCGTTATGATTCTCAAATCATTAACGACAAAACAAGGAATAAAACCAGGATTTCTATATTTGTGAAAAAGGTGTTGGTTATAGATTTGTTGTTGACAAAACTCTTGTCTATTCAGCTGTTATGGTCCCAGCTGGATTCGTCTGCATATCTGGCAACCTGAGTCAGGGAGAGTGGGAGAGGCTGCAGTACCACTTTTGGCCACATGTTTACAGACTGGGACTGTCTCATAAACATTTCTTCTTCATTTTCCCCTCTAAAGAATCTTCTGTGATGTGTTTTAAAACAGAAACGTGAGATTAGTCGACGACACATTAGTTCACGTCTGTCTGAGGAGGCAGCTGTAGACCCTTGGGCAAAGCACGGCGGCTGCAGGGAATCTACCCACAACCTCTGAGGGAAGGTTGTGGTTAGGGGCTGGGCCTGACTTTACCTGCTCTGGGACAGGAGTTCAAATGACTCATAATTGCTGGAATTAAGTGTTTTCTTTGGTTTAATCTTAATTTGAATTTATTCTGTTTGAATTGTTTGAATTTTATCAGTTTCAGGCTCAGTCAGAATGTGTCAGATTAAAACACATTTTACAGAATTTTAGCAATTTATGATTTAAAGTTTTCTGTGATTGTTTCTCGTCTGGTTTTGTTCAGTCTTTTGAGTTTCCTGGAACTGTGCTATACATATAAACCTGCCTCACACAATACTGTGAAGTGGGAGGTCAGGGTTAGAAGAGGTGTTTCTGTTGTTATTATACTGAAAATAAAAAAGCTTTGACACAAACACAAGTGGAAAAAAGTTCAAAAATTGTGAATAGGTTTGGGACGATTCAAGCAGGATTGTAAATAAGATAAAATAAATAAATAAATACAATTACATTTTTTTAATAAAATAAATAAAATAAATAAAATAAATAAAATAAATAAAATAAATAAAATAAATAAAATAAATAAAATAAATAAAATAAATAAAATAAAAAATATGTAATACATTTAATTAAATAGATAAAAAGGTAAAAAAAAAAATAATAATAAAAATAAAAAAAATAGTTGATTACATATACAGATACCACTGATAAAAGCGCATGTTGACCGTGGCCGCTCTGACCATGTGACGTCGAGGCCAGTTTCCTCCAGAGGTTTTTTATGACTTTCTTTATCGATAAACGTCACCGACAGAGACAGCTCGTCCGTCTCTTTCTGATCAATAAAGTATTTTCATAAATCACGTTTGCACCGAACTCAAAAGTTCATTACAGAAGAGGAAGACTCAGATGGACCCGCGACGAAGGAGGAGATGATTTGTGACGAAGACGAAGGACGAAGGCCCAGGGCTCGTAAATAACACCCGAGTTTCAAACCGCAGTGATCTCTGATGTTGTGTCCTTGAGCAAGTTCATAAATTTAACCTGAGTCCAGCCTTGATCCCTGACCTCCGCCAGGGACTCGAACACATGACCGAAAAATGCATTAGTCTGGAATAAAACACAGCAAAAAAATGAATAATATGATCAATTATACTTAATTAAAGGGCTCTAATCTGTCCTCATAAAAGGGTCCTAATCTGTCATCATTAAAGGGTCCTAATCTGTCATCATTAAAGGGCCCTAATCTGTCATCATTAAAGGGCCCTAATCTGTCATCATTAAAGGGCCCTAATCGTCATCATTAAAGGGCCCTAAACTGTCATCATTAAAGGGCCCTAATCTGTCATCACTAAAGGTCCCTAATCTGTCATCATTAATGGGTCCTAATCTGTCATCATTAAAGGGCCCTAATCTGTCATCATTAAAGGGCCTAATCTGTCATCATTAAAGGGTCCTAATCTGTCATCTTTGAAGGGCCCTAATCTGTCATCGTTAAAGGGCCCTAATCTGTCATCATTAAAGGGCCCAAATCTGTCATCATTAAAGGGTCCTAATCTGTCATCTCTGAAGGGCCCTAATCTGTCATCATTAAAGGGTCCTAATCTGTCATCTTTGAAGGGCCCTAATCTGTCATCATTAAAGGGCCCTAATCTGTCATAATAATACAGTGCCTTGCGAAAGTATTCGGCCCCCTTGAACCTTTCAACATTTTGCCACATTTCAGGCTTCAAACATAAAGATATAAAATTTTAATTTTTTTGTCATGAATCAACAACAAGTGGGACACAATCGTGAAGTGGAATGAAATTTATTGGATAATTTAAACTTTTTAAACAAATAAAAAACTGAAAAGTGGGGCGTGCAATATTATTCGGCCCCTTTACTTTCAGTGCAGCAAACTCAGTCCAGAAGTTCAGTGAGGATCTTTGAATGATCCAATGTTGTCCTAAATGACTGATGATGATAAATAGAATGCACCTGTGTGTAATCAAGTCTCCGTATAAATGCACCTGCTCTTTGATAGTCTCAGGGTTCTGTTTAAAGCGCAGAGAGAACCATGAAGACAAAGGAACACACCAGGCAGGTCCGAGATACTGTTGGAGAAGTTTAAAGCCGGATTTGGATACAAAAAGATTTCCCAAGCTTTAAACATCTCAAGGAGCACTGTGCAAGCAATTATATTGAAATGGAAGGAGTATCAGACCACTGCAAATCTACCAAGACCCGGCCGTCCCTCCAAACTTTCATCTCAAACAAGGAGAAGACTGATCAGAGATGCAGGCAAGAGGCCCGTGATCACTCTGGATGAACTGCAGATAACTACAGCTGAGTTAGGGATGGTGTGTTCAGGGTGATGAGCTGTGTTGCTTTTACGCCAAACATATCGTTTTGCATTGTGGCCAAAAAGTTTGATTTTGGTTTCATCTGACCAGAGCACCTTCTTCCACATGTTTGGTGTGTCTCCCAGGTGGCTTGTGGCAAACTTTAAGAGACTTTTATTGGATATCTTTGAGAAATGGCTTTCTTCTTGCCACTCTTCCATAAAGGCCAGATTTGTACAGTGCACGACTGATTGTTGTCCTATGGACAGACTCTCCCACCTCAGCTGTAGTTATCTGCAGTTCATCCAGAGCAATCACGGGCCTCTTGGCTGCATCTCAGTCTTCTCCTTGTTTGAGATGAAAGTTTTGAGGGACGGCCGGGTCTTGGTAGATTTGCAGTGGTCTGATACTCCTTCCATTTCAATATAATTGCTTGCACAGTGCTCCTTGAGATGTTTAAAGCTTGGGAAATCTTTTTGTATCCAAATCCGGCTTTAAACTTCTCCACAACAGTATCTCGGACCTGCCTGGTGTGTTCCTTTGTCTTCATGGTTCTCTCTGTGCTTTAAACAGAACCCTGAGACTATCAAAGAGCAGGTGCATTTATACGGAGACTTGATTACACACAGGTGCATTCTATTTATCATCATCAGTCATTTAGGACAACATTGGATCATTCAAAGATCCTCACTGAACTTCTGGACTGAGTTTGCTGCACTGAAAGTAAAGGGGCCCAATAATATTGCACGCCCCACTTTTCAGTTTTTTATTTTTTTTTTAAGTTTAAATTATCGAATAAATTTTGTTCCACTTCACGATTGTGTCCCACTTGTTGTTGATTCATGACAAAAAATAAAAATTTTATATCTTTATGTTTGAAGCCTGAAATGTGGCAAAATGTTGAAAGGTTCAAGGGGGCCGAATACTTTCGCAAGGCACTGTAAACCATGATCTTTTCCAATACTTCTTTAACTGATCACAGTAGTTCAGGGATATTCCCTACTCCACCCTACTCTAAGTAAGTAAGTAATGCTTATTTATATAGCGCCTTTCACAGACCACAGTCACAGCGGTTTACAGTTGTGGGCTTTAGTCTCTCACTCCACACAGAGATGGGCACAGACCTATTGTACATGTTTTTAGTGGTAGGGGAAACCGGAGCACCTGGAGGAAACCTACGCATACACAGGGAGAACATGCAAATTCCACACAGAAAGGCCCTGTTCCAACCGGGATTCACACCCAGGACCTTCTTGCTGAGAAGCGAGAGTGCTAACCACTCAGCCACTCTATACTACCCTACCCTCCTCCACCCTATCCTAGGCTAATCTACTCTGCTGTGGCACTTTGGAGCAGTAGCGCTTGAGCTTCACAATATAAAGATCCTTGATTCGATCCCACCTCCAGGCCTTTCTGAGTGGAGTTTGCATGTTCTCCCCGTGTCTGTGTAGGTTTCCTCCAGGTGCTCCTGTTTCCCCTACCACTAGAAACATGTCCATTAGTTCAGGGTGAATGAGTGTTTGTGAGAGCGACGGTGGGAGGTGTGTTCATGAACAGCTCTGTCCTGACTTTACAAATATATCAATAATAAAGTGTTTTAACGGACACAATAAAGTCTGTAACAAAACTCCCTCTCTCCCCACCCCTCTCTCCCTCTCCCCCTCTGTCTCTCTCCCTCTCTCCCCTCCCTCCTCCTCCCCTCGCTCTCTCGCTCTCTCTCATCGATCCTTCCTTCTCCCGCGGGCTCACACTTTGGTCGATCCTTGCACACAGCGCGACACTAACTCGACCGTTCTACCGCACTGATGCTAAACCATCCATCTCCCCCCGCCTCCCCATCCTCCCCCTCCTCCACACCCCAGCGTTCAATACGGCCCTGTGATCCCCTGAGCAGAGGGACCTGAGTCATGTCCGCCGGAATCGAACCCTCGCCCACAGATCTTTAGGTCGAGCAGCCTCAGGAGTGCACTGGAGCACGAACATACATGGATCCTCCCAACGCCTCACTGCACCGCTTTGTACGGACATAGATGTGTTACTGCAGGAGGGAGGCAGGGGGAGGCAGGGGGGAGGCAGGGGGAGACAGGGGGAGGCAGGGAGGAGGCAGGAGGAGGCAGGGGAAGGCAGGGAGGAGGCAGGGAGGAGGCAGGAGGAGACAGGGGGAGGCAGGGAGGAGGCAGGGGGAGGCAGGGGAAGGCAGGAGGAGGCAGGAGGAGACAGGGAGGAGGCAGGGGGAGGCAGGGGAAGGCAGGGGGAGGCAGGGGAAGGCAGGGGGAGGCAGGGGAAGGCAGGAGGAGGCAGGAGGAGACAGGGAGGAGGCAGGGGGAGGCAGGGGAAGGCAGGAGGAGGCAGGAGGAGACAGGGGGAGGCAGGGAGGAGGCAGGGGGAGGCAGGGAGGAGGCAGGGGGAGGCAGGGGAAGGCAGGAGGAGACAGGGGGAGGCAGGGAGGAGGCAGGAGGAGACAGGGGGAGGCAGGAGGAGACAGGGGGAGGCAGGGGGGAGGCCGGTTGGAGGCAGGAGGAGACAGGGGGAGGCAGGGAGGAGGCGGGGAGAGGCAGGGGGAGGCAGGGGGAGGCAGGGGGAGGCAGGGGGAGGCAGGGGGAGGCAGGGGGAGGCAGGGGAAGGCAGGGAGATGCAGGGAGATGCAGGGCGAGGCAGGGCGAGGCAGGGAGAGGCAGGGGGAGGCAGGGGGAGGCAGGGAGAGGCAGGGGGAGGCAGGGGGAGGCAGGGAGAGGCAGGGGGAGGCAGGGAGAGGCAGGGAGAGGCAGGGAGAGGCAGGGAGAGGTAGGGAGAGGTAGGGAGAGGTAGGGAGAGGTAGGGAGAGGCAGGGAGAGGCAGGGAGAGGCAGGGAGAGGTAGGGAGAGGTAGGGGGAAATAGGGGGAGGCAGGGTAGGTAAGTGAGTAAGTAATGTTTATTTATACAGCACATTCTTACAGATCCAAAGCGCTTTACAAAGTTCAGATATTGTTCCATTCTCTCCACACGATGATGACAGAAGCGAGACCCGAACACACTGGACCATCAAAGCCTCTGACCAAACACCATCCATTCACTCACTACATTCAGACCTATTGTACATTTTTTTAGTACTAGGTAAAACCGGAGCACCCGGAGGAAACCTACCCAGACACAGGGAGAACATGCAAACTCCACTCAGAAAGGCCCTGTTCCTATCTATCTATGATGTAATATTTTCAGCCTCACTCTCCAAACCCTCTCCACAGCCTCCTCTTCCTCTTCCTGCGGCGGTGTCAGAATAACAAACGAGGCTCGCGGTCGGTAAGGTGCCTTCTGCCGCTGACCTCGGCGTGTCCTTGTGCGCCGGAGCGGTCTCCCGGCGCCGGATCAAACCTCACGCTTCGCCGAGAACGCGTGACTCGAGCAGAATGTAAAGAATGGAGAAATATATTTATAAATACATGTGTGTGGGAGGACAGACGAGTCCAGGAGAGAGAGCGGACTCTGGGGGAGGAAAGAGAGACGGGTTTAGAGGAGAGCAGTTGGAGATAAAGCTGAGGTACGTAACTTTGAGTCAACAATATCAACTATAATAATACAAAAAATGCATTGGTTTGATTCAGCGCTTTTATGCTCAAAGTCTCTTCACAAATTTTTTCTTTCACTCTAAACTCAGTGGTGATAAACTACAACTGTCGCCACAGCTGCCCTGGGGCACACTGACAGAAGCGAGGCAACCAGTCTGTGCCATCGGCCCCTCCCACCACCACCAACCAGTCACACACACACCAGACTCATTCTAATGTGGGGGAAGTGTCTTGCCTAAGGACCCCACTGTGGCACCTGGTGGTCCCAGAGGTCTCCCATCGCAGTGCTATCCAGGCCTGACCCTGCTTAGCTTCAGAGGTCTGACAGGATCTGGCTTTCAGATGCTGTGTCAGTGAATCTATGATAGCTTTTTGCTACTACATAATGACTACATTATTGACCAGTTCTCAAAAGGCTTTGCTTCTCTCTACATTTCAGGACCACCCTCGCTCGGCCAATCAGGTCTCAGCCCAAAGCATCAAATAGTGACTCCCAGGGCTTTGTCTGAGTACGCAGAGAGATGTGCTCGGTTTTGTGTGAGAATAAGGACAAATATTCAGCACTTATAATCCGTCTCCCTCCAAACTAAACTGTACCAATATGTTTTATTTATTTTATTATTTTATCCTTCCATTTTCTACCCCTTAATCCATTTCTGTGTCGGGGGGGTGGCCAGAGATGCCACTCAGTCCACAGAGCACCAGCCCCTTGATCTCTCAGTGGGGGCTTCAGGCAAAGTGGGGTCAAGTGTCTTGCCCAAGGACACAACGACAGCAGTCAACCATTGTACATGGTTTTAGTGGTAGGGGAAACCGGAGCACCCGGAGGAAACTGGAGCATCCGGAGGAAACCTACATAGACATGGGGAGAACACGCAAACTGTTCCGACCGGGATTCGAACCCAGAACCTTCATTTGGGTCAATGAGACGAAAAAGTCCTGAAATATCGGCGGCCAGTTCTGCTGAATGTTCACAGACTGTGGTTCCTTGTGTGTCCAGTGGAGGGCGCACTGCTTACTCTATAATAACAGATTGACACTAGTTTTATCCAAACATTAATCATTAAATAATCTGTTTTGTTCCTTTTTAATTCTTTTCTGCCTCTGTCTCCGTCGTCGCCTGGATCCATAGACTCCTGAGTGAGTCCATTACTTTGGGCTGAAATCTTATTCAGTCCGAAGCTGAAATGAAAACACGGCTGACTTTTGAGAGACTCAGAAATCTGAAAAGGTCTCAGTCGTTCGTTCATTAAACTAAAGGTTACGCTCAGAGAAGAACAACTGACTTTAATGTCGCGTTAACAGCAGTTTGGAGCCGCTTCGGTCCTTCTTTACTTCATTATATCATTGATTCAACTCTCTCCTTGTTTAGCTGCACAGACCCCTCCCCCCTCTGCCTCTGTGACGACCAGCACAAACTCAGCAACAGACATTATCAAAAATCTACTTTTTTGACCTTTTCAGCTCCATCCACGGAAGTTCAGCTCGTGCAGCAACCCGCCTCCTCCCATCACTGCCAGCGTTAAGACCTCAGATTAAAATAGCTGTAGCGTTGTCATGGCAATAATCATCATATTAGGCATAAGCCAAAGAGATGATTAATGACACTAAACAGATTATAAACCAAATATACCTCACCGTGAGAGAGACACCCCCATATATATTAGCTGTGATGTCACACATGTCACTTAGAAGACACAGTGGTGGGACTCTCTCTGTTTCTGGTTTCTCTCTAGTCTCTCTCTGGTCTCTCTCTGGTCTCTCTCTCTGGCCTCTCTCTCTGGTCTCTCTCTCTGGCCTCTCTCTCTGGTCTCTCTCTCTGGTCTCTCTCCCTGGTCTCTCTCTCTGGTCTCTCTCTCTGGTCTCTCTCCCTGGTCTCTCTCTCTGGTCTCTCTCCCTGGTCTCTCTCTCTGGTCTCTCTCTCTCTGGTCTCTCTCCCTGGTCTCTCTCTGGTCTCTCTCCCTGGTCTCTCTCCCTGGTCTCTCTCTCTGGTCTCTCTCTCTGGTCTCTCTCCCTGGTCTCTCTCTGGTCTCTCTCCCTGGTCTCTCTCTGGCCTCTCTCCCTGGTCTCTCTCCCTGGTCTCTCTCCCTGGTCTCTCTCCCTGGTCTCTCTCCCTGGTCTCTCTCCCTGGTCTCTCTCCCTGGTCTCCCTGCCTGGTCTCTCTCTCTGGTCTCTCTCTATTCTCTCTGTTCAAAGTAAATCCATGCCAACCATCTCTCTCACTAATCACAAACCCAGACCCACACATTCCCATTCCTTTACCATGTGTGTCACCATGTGTGTTACCATGTGTGTTACCATGAACTCTCAGTGTGTGTTCTGGTTTCCCACACTAAGTGGAGCAGTTTGATGGTGTGCCTCCGTCCTCAGCTTCACGCCACAAATTTCCCTCGAGGCAAATTTGTTTCTGCCCCATTTTCAACAAAAATAAACACTTTTTTTCCCGCGACAGAAACAGAGGAACTGAAAACGTCACAACAGAAGAGTCCCGCTGCTGTTCATAATGTTTATATAATTATCTTTTGTATCGTAAACTATCGCTTCTGCAAACGTTCTCTGCAGCTGTTAGTGAGGCCTCAACAAAACAACACAAGTTTATACGTATAGCACAGTTCATACACAGGGAACTCCAAGTGCTGAACAAAAGAACATCATAATAATAATAATTAGGAGAGTGACATGATACTTTCTCCCGCGATCGATTATCAAAATGCATTTGCCAAGTATCGATTTTGAAAAAAATAAATAAAAAGATATATAAATATTTTTTTCACATTTATTTTTATTAGTATCAATACTTCATATATGGCTACATTACACGTCTCATTCCACTTATCATGAAATAAAGTGTATTTTTTTACTCAACATCTTTCTATTTGATGTATTCCATGTCTTGGCAAATTGGTATATTTCTGACCAATGTATCGATAATCGTCATATCGTGATAAAATCTTTATCGTGACCTTTGTATCACGTATCTTATCGTATCGTGAGTTACCTTACTTTCTCCAGGTGGAAGAAAGTTTCATTTTTAATGAACACAAAAATATTGTGTATATTGATCATCTCCAAGTTAGTTTTGCTTTGAAAGGACACACACATTTTAAGTAAATCCATCACTTCAAAGGAATAGTTTTGCTTTCTGTCAAATTGAATTTAATATTCTTTATTACTTAATAAAGAGCTAAAGTTGATAGTACTCAAAAAGGCCGATGGAACCTCACACAGAATTTATTTTGTTTCTGATTAAAGCAACACTTTTTACAGTGCACCATTATTCATTCTCTCCAAACACAGTGATGAAAAACTCCTACTGTAGCCACAGCTGCCCTGGGGCACACTGACAGAAGCCCCTCCCACCACCAACCATTCACACACACACCAGACTCATTCTAATGTGGGGGAAGTGTCTTGCCTAAGGACACAACCACAGTTTGGCACTTTACAGCCGCCTGCTGTTTCCAGAGGTCTCCCATCACAGTGCTAACCAAGCCCTACCCTGCTTGGCATCAGAAGTCTGACAGGATCTGGCTTATACATCCAAGTTTGGCCTCATACTTTACTGATAAAAACAACCACAAAAAGTATTAAATCATAAATAATCACAGAGCATTAAACAGAGTAAAGACACAACCCTTCAGTCGGTGAGTCATCGGTCCAAAGGGACAAGCCCTGGGAGTCAATATTTGTCACTTCAGGCTGAGAGCTGATTGGCCAAGGGGAGGTTTCTCTATTTTTCACTTTTCTGTCTAAAAAGCTGATCCAAAGATGAAACAGAGGCAAAAACTAGGGATGGAAAAAAACTAAGTAATCAAGTAATGTTTATTTATATAGCGCCTTTCACAGACCTATTGTATGTGTTTTTAGTGGTAGGAGAAACCGGAACACCTGGAGGAAACCTACACAGACACGGGGAGAACATGCAAACTCCACTCAAAAACTATTCTGAGAGCTTGTCTGTTGTTTGAAATTTACAAACCGCAAGTTTTTGATGAGAAAACTTTAAACAATTTGCTTAAAACCCAATTCTACATAATCAAGTTTAGCTCAGAAAAAGGAAGGCCCTCACATTCTGGTGCCTCAGCTCGTGCAGCAACCCACCTCCTCCCATCACATCTCAACAGTCTTCATATAATTTCAGTTTCTGTGGTAGAATCTGGTTTCGAGGTTTAGGTTTAGACTTTAACTTGAAATCGTCGTAGCTTTGTTATGACGAGGATCTAGTTTTTAATATATTTGACATGAATTTTTTGGATTTTTATGAGAAAAATTTAGCGACTTGTTTTAAATCCGCACAAAGCAATTCTCTTTTAATGCCAGCCTATTTCAGAACAGGTACTCCCACAGTGCCAGCCATTTCTGATGATTTTTACTGATTTTTCA